CTATGGATATATATGAGTAGAAATTTATTTAATTACACATAAATATTATATATTATGTTTATATAAAATATTAATTATTTATCTTTTTATTTTTAATGATTAAAATTTATTCACATTTATTAAAAATAATTATTATTTTTATTTAAAAAATAGTAATAAATCTCAACTATTAAAAGTAAAGAGATGAATAGTTAAGATTTTTTTGTAACTATAATATGTAAAATTTATGGACAATTATACATACACCCTCTCAATCAACACCCATCTCAACACCCAAGGCTTATGAACAGTAAAATTACAAATTTACCCCTCCTCATTTTAGCCTTGGATGTTGAGATGGGTGTTGATTGAGAGGGTGTATGTATAATTATCCAAAATTTATATGTAAATGGATCCCACCATTACATATAACAATAATAATAATAATAATAATGTGTATTGTTGGTTGTCCTCCTAAATATTTTTTGAAGAACTTGTTTGGAAATTCATTATCTAATTAATATTTTTAAAAATTAACTATTAGATTAAAAATTTTATTCATATAAACCATACATGTCAATTCTCAAATTGTTCAATTAGACTTAAACGCTTTATTGATTACAAGAGATTTAACATTGTTAAATATATGCAAGTAAATAGAGTTTTATTTTATCAAATGATTATAAGTGTTACATCAATATAAAAATTAACATGCATGAACTATATAAATAAAATTTTTAATTCAATAGTCGATTTTTTAAAATATTAATTAGAAGATAGATTTTCAGATAGGTCCTTCAAAAAAAATTTTGGAAGGACAACTTATTATACACTATTTTTATATATGTATAGTAAGGATTCACTTACACAAAATCCTAACAATTCATTTCTTTACTTTCAATGGTTGTGATTTATCATCTTTTTATCATATTTATTAAAAATAATTATATTTTTATCTAAAAAATTATGATAAATTTCAACTATTGAAAGTGGAGAGATGAAAATTTTGTGTAAGTGTGATATGTAAGACTTGCATGTAAATGGATCCTACTATATAGATATAATGACAATAGAATTTAATATAGTTTTAATTTAATTTTGGATTTTTTAATAATATGCTTTTAAGGGCATAAATTAAAGGTATTTTTTTAATATTAATTGGTATTAAAAAAATAAAAATTGACCTTTATTTACAAAAATGATATGGTTACAATGTTGAGTGATATTATAAGTTTATAACATAATGTGTCATTATATAGTTGATTAATTTCACTTAATGGTTCACACATGATATTATATATAT